CAAAGCGGTAATCGTAGGACGTTGTACAAAGCGATAAATCAAAGGACGTCGTACAAAGCGATAAATCAAAGGACGTCGTACAAAGCGATAATCATAGGACGTCGTACAAAGCGATAATCGTAGGACGTTGTACAAAGCGATAATCGTAGGACGTTGTACAAAGCGATAATCGTAGGACGTCGTACAAAGCGGTAATCGTAGGACGTTGTACAAAGCGATAAATCAAAGGACGTCGTACAAAGCGATAAATCAAAGGACGTCGTACAAAGCGATAATCATAGGACGTCGTACAAAGCGATAATCGTAGGACGTTGTACAAAGCGATAATCGTAGGACGTTGTACAAAGCGATAATCGTAGGACGTCGTACAAAGCGATAATCACAGGACGTCCTAGAAGGCGATAATCGTAGCAGGACATAAGAAATGACAAATCTTAGCATGTCCTACAACAGAAAAATCTTACATCGCCCTACGAAGGATAAACATATTAAGTCCTTCAACTGAATAATCGTCACAATCATAGCAGGTTCTGTAATATTCCGAATTATTCTGACGTTTTATCGACTTTTTTTATATCGGTCTGGCGTCAATTAACAGACCGATATACAAAAAAAGTCGATAAAACGTCAGAATAATTCGGTTAGTTCTGTAAAGAATGAATGATCTTAGCACGTCATACAATACAGTAGTTTTAGCGATTCTACAAAGAAATTATCTTAAATAGCATAGTTCATCATATTATACTCTTTTACAAGAGAAACAATTAAGACACAACTGATCAGTCTATTGATGTTCGTATCTAAAGGATGCTTTTAAGGAAATCTTAATTCACATACTTTTGCAATTTATACAGAAATATTGGGGAATGAAACGACCCTTATAATTTATATATCTCATTATTATAGATAACTCGACACGACATGATGGCAGGGCATGTCAATATATATCGTTTATAAGATCAACACTTGATTTGCATGTTTAATGCACGTATCATACAATCGCTTCATAGACAACATTCATACGTAAGCTCGATTCTGAGCGTACATTCTCTTCCTTGTCGTGTAGAAGTCACTTACACACTAGACACGATGAGAACTGACGCGGCGTTCTCTGTTGTGGTTCTAGTAGGTATAATATATATATATTAAATTTACAAGGTGCATGTTAGAGCTTGTTTTAATGCAATTCTAAACAAGAGGCCCAAATGGACCTGAATCGCTTACCTAGCTGATATTAATCTTACACCTGTAATCTTAATAATGGACTAAAATACAGCTACAGGCAAAATATCAGTGTTTGATTCATAAGAACCCATTAAAAGATTTAAACATACCACGTCTGTGACCTTGGAAGTCGAACAAGGTCATTAAGTTGAACAGAGTTTATAGCCTTCCATCCAAGCATGCTTCTGGCCAAATATCATTACGTTGGACCTTTTGGTTATTCAGGAGAAGTCATTTAAAGATTCATACATATTTGCTCCCTGTGACCTTGAAAATTGACGAAGGTCATTAATTTAAACAAGCATGGTAAACCTTTATCCCAGCAGGCTACTGACCAAGTATCATAACCTAGGCCTCTTGGTTGTTCAGACGAAATCGTTTAAAGGTTTTAAACATATTTGAGCCCTGCGACCATGAATATATGTAAAGTCATTCATTTGAAAAAACGTGGTAGCCCTTCATCCAAGCATGCTATTGGCCAAATACCAACATCCTAGGCCTTTTGGTTACGAAGAAGTTGTTTAAAGATTTTAAACATATTTGACCCCTGTGACCTTGAATATAAGTAAAGGTCATTCATAAAGGCTTTAACATAGTTGACCCCTGCGACATTAAATATCTGTCAAGGTCATTCGTTTAAACAAATCATGTAGCCTTTCATCCTAACATGCTACTGACCAAATATCATCATTATAGGCCTCTTGGGTAATGAGGAGAAGTCGTTAAACTATTTTAACATATTTGACCTTGAAAATGGGCTGTCGCTCGGTGAAGAATAAGTCATTGTCCATCGGAGATATTGTAACATCTCAGGGCATTGCCATTCTTGCATTGAAAGAAACCTGGTTAGGTTCAGATATCGATGACCAGGTACAAGCTGAGATAATACCAACAGGCTATGGATTCCTTCACAATGCTAGAATCGGCAATCGTGGAGGTGGGGTGGCTGTTCTGTTTAAGAAAGGCCTATGTGTGAGGCATCTATCTTCCAGCCATGATAATGTTTATATACACTTTGAGCACATGACTTGTTCTGTCATTGCTGATGATTGTGTATCATTTATAGGCCTCCTCCATCTAAACAGAATGCTTTCCGAAATACAGTGTTTTTTATGAGTGGTCTACCTTTTTAGACCACCAAGTTGTTGTACTACAAGAGATTATCACCACGGGTGACCTACATTTCCACTTAGACGATCTATCTAATGTCGATGCTCGCCAATTCACTGGGCTACTAGATTCAAGGGGTCTGATTCAGCATGTGACAGAAGCACCCACCCATGGCCACACACTGGATATGGTCATAACAAGGGAAGATAACTCAGTTGATCCATGTCTAAGTGATGTAAAGGAGAACCAATCTGGTGATCATCTTTTTTTTATTGTTTTTTTTTTTTATTATTTTTACAAGACTAGGCAAAACATATATGACATTTTTCATAAGTACATGATTGTTCATGCATATTAAACAAAGGTGTCTATAAAGTTTTAAATAGTTTTTTAAACTTTTTTTACACTCCTCATCCTCATCCTCATCATTATTTCACATCATTATCATCTGACATCATCAACGTCATCATCTGTTATCATCATCACAATCACCATCATCCTGACATTTTTCTAAACATCATGTTACATCATCATCATCCCCATCATCATCCTCATCATCATAATCACCAACATCCTTACATAATTCTTAACATCATTATCCTCATCACCATCATCTGACATCATCATCAGACATGATCATCATATACGATATTATTCTTAACATTATCATATGACATCATATCACATCATCAACATTATCATCATCATAATCATCATCATCATCTGATATAATTCTTAACATTATCATCTGACATCAATATCATCATCATCATCATAATTGTCTGACATCATCCTCATCATCATCAGCCATCATTATCCTATGTCATCATTTTCATTTGATAGCATAAGCAGATATTAAAAAATTGCCAATCCCATGTACATACATTAAGACATACACTGAGACACTGATGCAACAACAATATATATAAACCTATGACATCAGACACATGACACAAGACCAAATAAACTGAAAGAGAAAAAAACACCAAAAAAAACCACCCAAACACAAAACATTACAGCGGATGGGGGAGCAATCCTAGGTCATTTTATTTTAACATAAGCCTGGCGAATTAAAATGTATGAAACATTTGATGATTATTAATACAGTGAGGAGACGATAAAGTACAATAGATGTATATATGTATAGAACAAATATGTCATATATATATATATAATTATAACAGTTGCCATGTTTGCTTTCCTGTGATTTAAACATGCACACCCAACCAGTATCGCGGTACGGATCGATTTTTGTCGTGGTGCATTTTCATGCAACTAAGCACAATACGTGTAAAACCCGATCAATATCCAGATAGGAGTTTTGTTGCACGGGCCTTACTTACGCACGCACGTCCTTTCCTATAGTTATTGACCAGTACAAATTTCTCTATGGGGTCCTTTTACCATGAGTTATTTCCTTCACAGTTTGTTGTATGTTTATGAAGAAGATCTTGTTTGATGTCAACTGATACTTTAATGTATATACTGTCTGGTTTGAAATGAATAATTAAAACCATGATGCTTGCACAATTCAAATCGAAGTTCATGCTTTGTCTTTTTTATGTTGTCACCGTATTGTAATTTTTTCTACTCGTCTTTTTCTACACGTTGTGTTCGTGTGTGTTTTAACAATGTCAGTGTTAAATACACATCACCCAATGCGTCTTTCCATTACACACTGTTAAATAACTAGTCCACGCGTGCATCATATATTGGTGCTGTAAGTTAAGCTGATAACTTCTATATGTTACGAAAAACAGGTTATCTGACAAAAGGCAATAAAAAAGTTCTTTATCAGTGTCAAGTACCGTTACCTTGCACATGGATTAACAACCATGATCGCAACAGTGGTTTGTATCAAACCACGTGGAACTAGCCAGGATATAAGTGTGAAACACGGGTAACAATCTGATGTTATTGGTGGTGTGGATCTGTATTTTGAGACCAAACTCACTGTTAAGTGACCGTTTACATGACCGCATTCACTATTTAGTTTAAATTACATTTACCTGCACGTAACTGGCTATATGGTGTATAAGTTTCCTTGTCACAGTGTTTTGATATTCAATTGTGATTCTGGCCTGCTCGGGCTCTTTGTATGTGGGATTTTATATCTAAAAAAATCAACAATTCATTTGCAACATTAAAATGAAGTTAATATCAAGCTCGATGATGTACATTTTGTAGGTGTAAGTGTGTATGTGTTATGGTTGGGGAGGGGTGGGGGTGGGGGAAAGCGTAACAGTGATTCCGCCATTCAAAGAACACTCCCTCTCACTGAAATATCTAAATCGCACTATATTCATCTAACCCGCCCCATAAACACCAGGCTAGTGTTGCTTTAATAGAACATATATACAAAACTCCAAACTCTCAAGAATAGAGAAGGGCGATGCATTCCTCTACCCCATCCCAACACCTCGAGAGCCAGGCTATATAAGGTCACTTGTCACTATCGTTATATAATGTCACTTGTCATTATCACTAGTGTTTGTTTTAGGTATTTCTGATAACAGTGTTGTTCGGACGACATGCTTCATTACAATATGGTAGAGGGGTAATTTAAATCAATATCTAAAATTGCGTAACACTATTCTGTTGTTAGGGTAAACAAACGGCTTCAGGGGTACATGCATTGCAAACTGTAATGTTAATGCATCTGTGCGCGCAATAGTTAATATCATTCGGAGGAGCAATGATGTTAAATCTTACATGGGCTGTAGCTGTTGTCTTAATTGTCGTAAGTAAGAAGATGTTTATATTAGTCACCGTTTAAAGAATGTTTCAGCAATATAAATGCAACTTGCTGGGCTAGAAACATATTGTAGTATTACTACCTGACGGTGTCTGATATGGTGTTTTGCCTAAATATGCTGGATCAAAATCATCCTATATTAGACAACTTATGTTCATAAGTATGCTTAAATATCTGAGGTTGGTATGCTCACTATATTTTAAGTATTAAAGTGTATATTCTTGACTTTCCAGCTGTCCTCCCTTTCAGGCACTTTCGAGATAACGCACACAACCACATCAACTCGAAAATGCTTGCAAGGGAGGACAACTGAAAAGTCAGGAAAATCAAGAAATCCATCTGGGTTGGGAGAGAAATAGATTTGATGAACAGAGACTAAGGGGGCCATCAGCTGAGCCATCTCTGTTACCCCATTTTAACATCCAATAAAGGGCGGAATAGGTAAAGACGTTACCTGCCCCCCTGACTTCAGGCAGTACTAGAGTGCAATTCGACGAAAAGTCCCTATGATTTTTAACAGCTGATTTTACTTGATTCGGCCCACAGAGTCTTTGTGAGTTGTTTTCAGTGGTTTAGAGTCGAGACACCGGTCATTTGCACTCTTTGCTTGACAAAGGAAACAGACGTTTTCAAAAGCTCGCAAGAAAAGTTTTCAATTCCTGTTTGTGTTCGAAACAAACTTAGTCATTGACATTAATTATAATAATAACTTTTATCATTTAGCATAATTGTCTAAAATAACGGAAGTTGTTAAATTCTTTTACATTGATACATACAATAGCAGAAATAGCTACTTGTTTTTACATTAATGTTAGGAAAAAACAGAAAAAGCAAATAACTGATAACCTTAATGTTCAAAATGATAAACATAGTCATTGCATTTGATATTAATGTTTGGGATAACAGAAATAGGGAATTATTTGTAATGTTAATGTTCAGAATGACACAATAGCTTATAAATGTTAGGGATTAACAGAATTAGCTAATTGTTTTAAACATTAGTGTTTTGAAAAACAGCAATAGCTAATTGTTTTAAAGAGTAATGTTCGATATAACAGAAAAATACTATTGTTTAACATTAATTGTTTGGAAGAATAGAATATCTTACCGTTTGAAATAACAGCAACTTTTTTTTTTTTTTTTTTTTTTTAGATTTATGTTCGGAACAACAGAAACAGCTAATTGTTTTTAACAGTAATGTTCGTAAGAACAGGATATCTTATTGTTTTCAATATTAACGTTTGAAATAACAGCAATAGTTATTTGTTTTTTAGATTTATGTTCGGAACAACAGAAATAGCTAATTGTTTTCAACATAAATGTTTGGAAAATCAGCAATACATATTTGTTTTAAAAGATTAATGGTCGGAATAACAGAATTTGCTGATTGCTTTAAACACTAATTTTTGGAAAAACAGTAATAGTTTATTGATTTTAAGAATAAAATCTTATTGTTTACAACATTAATGATTGGAATAACAGGAATTGATGTTAAATGTTTTTAACATTAATATTCGGAGTGACAGAAATATCTGATTGTTTTTAACATTAATGTTTAGTATGGCAGCAATAGCTAGTTATTTAAACATGAATGTTTGGAACGACAGAATTATATTATATTTTATAACATCAATGTTGTAACAGCAATAGCTACTTGATTTTAAGATCAATGTGTGGAATAACATAAATATCCAATTGTTTTAACATAAATGTTTGGAATGACAGACATAGCTTATTGATTTAAGCATTAATGATTATAACACCAAAACAGTAATTGTTTTTAACATCAATATTAGGAATGACAAAAATTGCTCGATTCTTTTAAGATTAGTGTTCGTAATAACATATTTCGCTCATCGTGTTTAGCATTAACGCTCGTAATAACAGAAATAGCAAATAGCTGTTGACATTAATGACGGGAATTATAGAAATAGCCGATTGCTTTTAATGTATCTTGTTTTGTTTTTGTTTTTTGTTTTAAACTGAGTGTTCGAAATAAAACAAAAAATAGATAAAGGATCCGTTTGAATCTAAGACTTCCGTCGACCAGGTAGCTCCGTCTGTTAGAGCGGTTGTTAAGCGGTCTGAAATCCAGGGTTTGAATTTGGGTGTAGTCCCGCTTTTTTACACTGGAAACGTTATTATTGCTTAGATTAAGTTTATTTCATCTGTATTATTTGATCAGAAATGATTGATCAAAGATATAGTTATGCCAGAAAGAACACATATCAACCACTTGTTGTTTTTTGCAGTGATAAAGGGATCCTTAAGCATTAATGTTCGGAATATTATATTTAACTTATTGCTCATAACAAAAAATGCTGATTTTTTTATAGATAAATAGGGTTAGGGTTAGAGAAATAACAAAGTCTATAATGACAGAAATAAAAATAAAATCATTAAATGTCCATGACTTTGATCAATCAGTTTCTTGTTTTGTTTTTACAGCTTATGACAGCATCAGTGGGACAATCGCATCAAATGTCTGTAAGCATTGACCATGTAGTAAAAAGGTCGCCATGCCCTTTTCCTGACTGTTTTCCTATCTATTATCGGGTTTGTATCGACTTCCTGACAGACCGCAGGTACGATTTCCCTATCTTCTATATTATTTATCAAGATTCAAGTTCTGAAGAAATTCATAGAGTGGTTAATATCTGACTCATTAATCGTCATAATGTACGAAATTGCAGTAATTATGCTGAGAGAACTCAATCAAGGTTTAACAATCCTTGTCCTATTGTAGAGTGGGGTTTTGTATACTCAAAAACTTCCCAATAATTTTGTTTAATATTTAACTGTAGCACAGTTGTGCCGGTGTATTTCCGTCGACCAGGTAGCCTAAGCCTGTCATCCTCGCTTAGACCGGGGTTCGAATACTTGTCTTCTAATTGTTGTACTATCACTCTTGCTGACAAGCTTCATCCTCCATATCCAGGAGTTACGCTCACTTCCGCTCTTTGCACCCCTGGAATATGTCATAGCGAAACTGAAGGCTCAATATGGAGAACCTTGTGGACGAGAAGAGAAGACTATTTCGTTCCTTTGATGTACATCAAAAGAACCTCGCCGTCACGTAACGGTAACAATTGACAGGCTTTGAAGTCGGGCGTCTCTCCTTTGTAATCTTCAAAGGACAGGTATCAGCCTAGCGATTGGTCAGGTTTTTTTTTGTACCTGAGATCAATCAAACGTGCCTTCAATTTTGCTATGTTGCTATGCCATATTCCAGGGGTGCAGAGAGCGGAAGTGAGCGTAACCCCTGGATATCGAGGGTGCATCTTGTCAGCTAGAGCGATACTACAACAATTAGAAGACAAGGGTTCGAACCCCGGTCTAGTCGAGCTACATTTTAACATACAGAACCCTTTTATTGATTAAGATTTTGTCTATTTCATTTTTTTTTTTTTTTTGCAAAATGTGCCACAAATTGATTTATTAAAGCTTCAGTCATGCCGGGCAAAAGGTTCCCTGTCCATAGTTATAGTTTTTGCAGAGGCACTGGGAAACGATTTCAAAGGAATTTCTAATCGTCTTAATCAGTTTTAATCAGTTTCTCGATACGTAAAGAATCTACAAGAGCAGTGTTTGAGATCAGCTCAAAGCCGAACTAGAATATAATTCGACATAGACTTCTTTCATCAACTTTTACTCGAAGTTTATTTCTGATGTTGATGGTTGTAAGTGTTGTGTCCGTGTATCAAGATGGGAGTACCACTTATTACCACTATCAAATGTCTGTCCTGCATGTATGTCTGTTCTATTTATGTATTGTTCTTAGCTTGCTTTGGTTTAGCGTACCGCGACGGACAATGACACGTTTGTCTTAATTTTGGATCAACATAAGATGAAATGATTCATTTGTACTCTAGGCTATTAAACGTAAATAAATGCATATATCGTTGTGATTTGAGTAAACATATCGTCAGGGTTTGTATAAACATCTCCCCCTCTGTTTGTAATTAAATTTATTATTTTCATGAAAAAGCGATAAAGATATTTAAGTTATAGGCAATAAATTTGGGGTTTATGCTAAAAAATATAACGAGGGTAAGGAAATACTAAAGCAAATAAAACAAGCAGATTTTATCTAAGTTAACTATTTTTCCAGCATTGCTTACTATTGTGTTTTATATATCACAATGAAAGACAAACATGTGTGGATTTAATCTTGTCCACCAATAAACCAATGTAGTTTAATGTGCTTTCGCATCTACTCCAGTAGCGACGTGACCTAGATTGCCAAATGTAGGCTGTTGTTTTGCGTGTGCAAACAATGGCCATGCTCCGTTATGATTTTGCCAACATGCTGATGTCGTAAATATTGCACGTGTGACCTTCATTTGACACAGCTTTTTTGTCAGTGAAAAGTCTCAAAAGGCTCATTTGTTACATTTGCAAAGACATGGGGGCATCAGGAAGAGCATGTGTATGATTGTTGGATAAAAACACATGCACACATATGATGCAATATCCCTAATGCCTAAAGCATAATACACTTGCTAGTTGAATGTAGTGTAAAGCTTGGAGACATGTGAAGGATATTGCTCTGTAACAATGGTGATCGGCATATTACAGGCCGATATCTATATACGGTAAGTTCATCAAATAATGTCACACTTAAACCTTTAAAAAAAATTATATATAGTTAATTTATATGTACTATGAATACGATACATATATACTGTTAGATATTATTTGGAGATAGATCATATAGGTTATACCTATACCTCGAATTTGAACTTGAAATTCGTTGAATAAAATATTCTGAAATGAAACCACTACGCGTTTTGAAAAGGACAGCCCAGTGTCACAATTAGAAATAGTAATGATGTCTCAGTAGTAATCGTGACATAATAGATAGGTTAATCAATTGACTTAGAGGAGGACAATTAATCATTTGCATACATCTAATATCATTATGTATTGAATAACTTTCAGCTATTGCTCTAGAACCTCCCACCCATGTAATGATCAACTCCATTGTGCAAGCATGAAAATGCACAACGAAACCTTTTCGCGGCTACGTCTTCCACACCAGGCTGTCACCAATGAAACATTTGTAAGTGCTTTTTTCAGATAAACGATATAATCTTTACAATAACAATTGTTTCATTAATCGTAATACATACAAATTTTAACATATTTAACATTTCACGTTTCGCATGTGGAAAAGTAGTCTTGCAACATGTATGAAATCACGTAACAGATTTTTGAAAAAACAAAATGCGAAAACTTTTCTTATCCCGATGAAAATGAAAAATCACCACATTGCTGTGAAAATGAAATATGATTACAACATATTCAGCACTTTTTCTGGTTTTAGTTGAGCACTGTGTGTGTTAAGACGATTTGAAGAGAAAATCTGTAAAGAATCATAACGTTTATATATCTGACCACTACGACGACGACCTATTTCTTTTACAAATCGGACATGAACTATGGTCGCCGCCATTCCTGTTTTGTTCAGACATATTTCGCTAACTTAAGTTTTATCTAGAAGTAAACTTGTTCGTAAAATGCCTGTCATAAACTTGCTTGTGATTGGTTAGAGCTGAAATATTCTGCGATTTCGCTCAAAACAAGATGGCCACAGTGACTTTAATTTGGATTGGTTGAATTATTTCTGTATTGTCCGGTTTGATTAAATTTACTACATTAGTGTATTATGACACTAAAATAGCTGTGCGATGCTTACTTTGCGAGTACACGTGTTGCTTTGAGGGATTTTGTAAGGTCTTTGTTATATTTACCAAATCAGAACAGGACTAATAAAGACAAAAACGAGACGAATAACAAGAAAACAAGTCAGACAGCCAATCAAAAGAGTACTAATAAAGACAAATCAAAGGGCAAAGACAGACAGTCAAACCATCATGTAAGAATACAAAAAAACAAGACAGACAGCCAGCCACATGGTTGGAAAGAGATACCACAAAATCAAATGTATCGACAAATAATAATTTGTTAAGTGAGGTTATTATATGTGTTAAATACATTTTTTGCTATATTTCCGCCAAATGCAGTTCTCTTGAGGATGTCCTTATATTCCAATTTTTTTAATGATCAAAAAACAGATTCTCACATTTAATTAAAATACTACGGACAATTATGTCGATGAATATGTATTTATATGGATTAAAGAGCGTTATATTTACCGAGATGAATGTTATTCTCTGTCATTGATGTTCATAATGCTATTTTTAGATCAAAGTCTATATCGCTGAAAGTTTATCGGCGGGTATCCCATGTAGAATGGCTTCAGCATATGATTGCCGGTATTTGAACACATCGTATCAATTCAGCAATGAAAATTTCAGGTTTGTTTTTTCGACAAAGATTAGATTTAACGTACAAATGTGTCATCAGTACTGTCAACATTTCATATTATATGCGATAACCTCAAAAACTTTGTGTATTATAAAGCAATATTTTGCCTATATAATGAAATTATAGAGAAGCATCTTCTTTTTCGGTAGTATAAATGTAAACTCTGTTTAAAAAACAATTCTGCTGCAGTTTCTTTCCTTTCACCAACAATTGTTGCCAAAGTGCATACATGTACCATTAATAAAACAGGGAGCCTGAAGTTGGTTCCTAGTTCCTAGTTCCGTTTAAGGTAACCGGAACTAGGAACCAGTCCCTAGTTCCGTTTAACATAAACGGAACTAGGAACCAGACCCTAGTTCCATTTAACATAAACGGAACTGGGAACCAGACCCTAGTTCCGTTTAACATAAACGGAACTGGGATCCCGTTTAAAATTGAAATAACACTATCAATCGAACTTCGACCAAAATACTAGGTCTGCTTCAGAAAAACATCATAGTTAGCCTCTTATAATCGACTGGAAACTCAAATCTGAATCCATTACAGGAATCGAACCCACACTCTTTCACACGAAAATTAAGACTACTATAGCCTCTATAAAGTAATTGGTCTTATACGGAACAGAGTGTCAGACTCCAGTTACGTTTTCCATAAACGGAACTGGGAACCAGACCCCAGTTCCGTATAGTAAACGTATATGTTTTTTTGTTAATTCTTTCCATGTCTACCTCGAAAAACGAAAGGTCAAATGCGCGCAGTTATAACTGAATCAAGTACAGGAATCGAACCCACAACCTTTCACACGAATATTAGGACCACCATAGCCTCTATAAAGTAATTGGTCTTATACGGAACTGAGTGTCAGACTCCAGTTACGTTTTTCCTTAAACGGAACTGGGAACCGACACAAGTTCTGTTTAACATAAACGGAACTGGGAACCAGACTGGGGTCCGTATAGTAAACGTCTATGTTTTTTTGTAATTCTTTCCCTGTCTACTTCGCAAAACGGAAGGTCAAAGTCCCGTAGTTATATCTTAATCAAGGACAGGAATCAGTGTCAGACTAACACGTATATTTATAGCCCAGTAATTATAATTTTACCCAAAATCACATTCATGCCGCGACGGCATTATTTCTTAATTCTAATTACAATGATGAACCAAACAAAGCCATTACGCTTGTTCCATCAGAAAGGAATTAATTTATCTTTTTCTACTTTGACAAGTTTAATAACGTTCTCACTAATACCACCAATCATAAAACGTGTTTAATATTGATATCATAGCATATACCGTTAAAACGTGTTCATTAATTTTAGATCGTTAAATACCAGCAAAACTAAATCATTATTATCACATTGGTTTGTCTTATATCACACTATATTCATTCAACTCATGTTTAATATTGCAACATTCTGAAAAGTGTTTAGTATGATAAACAATACATTATCTACTTGACATCATTATCTTTTATAATTCAAGTGTCATATACAAACGTATGCACCCTAACAGAAATGTTTTCTACCTTTTTTCAAAATTTTGCAGTTTTCATGTAACCCTGACAGATGTACCCACTACATCAAACTCTAGCTCAACGCCTATACACTCTGGTAAGTCATCAACGCTACCAGATAAATATGATCAGCTAGATGTATTTATGAACCATAGCTGTCACATATGGCATAAAAATACTATATGAATTGATATTTTCATTATATTATATGATTGTATCATTATATGATTTGATTTTATCAATATATTATTCAATTTTATCATTATATTATTTGATATCATCATTATATGATTATATGATTTGATTTTATCATTATAATTATGATACCTGCAAAACTAAATCATTATTATCACAGTGGTTTGTCTTATATCACACTATATACATTCAAATCATGTTTAATATTGCAACATTCTGAAAAGTGTTTATTATGATAAACAATAAAATATTTAGTTGACGTTGTCTTTTATAATTCAAGTGTCATATACAAACGTATGCACACTTACTTTTTACCTTTTTTCTAAATTTTGCAGTTTTCGGGTAACCCTGTCAGATATACCCGCAACATAAAACTCTGGCTCAACGCCTATACACACTGGTAAGTTATCAACCCTACCAGATATATATGATCAGCTTTATATCTTTATCAGGTATTAACTACTTTTTACCATCTACTGGTAGCATGATAAATTAGTCAGCATGGGCTATCTGCACTTGGGCATACTCAAGAAGTTGAGAACGACTTGAGCACAACTTGAGAACAATTTCAATTTTCTATTTCAACAAATTTTATTGACGTTGTATATATAAATTGGATTGGACAAGGCCTTTTAACATTACATACATTCTGGCATAACAATCCAAATAAACAGTGTCGAGGAAATATCTTGTGGAATAAGTATTTTTTTTAACGAATATTCAATTATTTTTAAGTTTATGTTTAGGATATTTGTTGACAACCCTTCCATTATCCAATCCAATGGATACAGGCCCAAGCTACCCTGTGTATAAACACATCGACCATCAAACCACTGGATATATAGGAGAAGTTATCAAGAATACACATCTAGTAAAGTTTTAGAATATGATATGGATTCATAGGGGAAAATGTAGTTATCATTATCTGTTATTGGAGTTGATTCTCTTAAAATTAAGCTAACAATTCATAATAGATTAGTCATGTAACTATAGCATATATAGAACGGTATGTAGAGTAGTAATCATAAATTCCATCCAGTCAGGTCCGAATTCAGGAGATGTTGTGAACAAAGATATAACATATACAAAATGTATCAATATTTATCTGCACAGTGACACTAAAATACTAGCATCACTTTCAATGTAAAGTTTGAGGTTGTGAGAGATATGACATATCAAATCTATTAGTTTGACGAATATGGTAAGATATAATTTTTAAAAGTAATATGTTGATATCATTGCTGCATAGTATGCATCTATTAAATAGAGTTTTTATATTATAATGATCATGATTATCAGTTATACCAAAGTGACAAATGTTTTGTACTAATTGCAACCTGATGTTATTACAGAGCGGGGGTTCAAATATAAAATGAAATTTTCATTGTCATGTCCACATCTAATTGCTGGTGTGTCATTCAGATGATCCATACACAATTCACTGTTTAGGTTGCTAGCATGATTCCTTAGCTGGCAAATTATGATAAAAAAAACTTGTTCCAAAGTATCTAAATGTGCTTATAAAGTCTTTTGTGTTATTTACATTATCTGACTTGATGACATTTAAATTGTTGTAGGGAAGCAGCGTTCAAAATTTCTGCAGAGAGAAGGTTGAATTCTCTACTGGCTGAGGGGGAAAACTATTGAAATAATTTTCAGTTCTACAAAGTGTGGGATTGAAAACACAGCTTTTTCTTAGTGGATATCTTACATTTATATTATTGCAAAGGTAGAGTTCAATGATGTCTACTATGTACTTAGGTGATTCATTATTTAAAATTTTAACATAAGTGTTAATTTATATTTTGTTCGTCAACAACAAAGAACTTCAAATCCAGTTTCTACATAAAGCTTATTAAGTGAAGTCACTCTACGCAAACAGCAATTACTACAGTTGTTCCATACTATATCCCCGTATTCAAGTATTGGTCTAGTAAAAGAGGTACATATTGCTGTAAGACTTTTTCTATCCAATTTGTGTTTTAACAGTCTCAATATATTTATTCGTCTATAAGCTAGTTAATACATATTGTCAATATGATATGTCCATTTTCCATCGCTACTAAAAGTTAAACCTAGCTGCTTATGAGTTTGTTTATTAATTACAGTTTCATTACAAAATGGGATATCTTGATGATTTGGTTCACTTTTCACTGAGAAAATTACAGATTCAGTGTTCAGCGAATTAAATTTGATATCCATTTTTCTGGCCCATGTATGTTTAGGACCTAGATCATTAGTTAATTTCAATGCAGTTTAATTTGCTTGTCAATTACATAATACAGTATCATCAGCAAAGCGTTTTAAACGGACCGAGGACTGAGCCTTGGGGTATACCGGCTTTGACATACTGAACAATTGAATAAAACCCCATTGTTGATACTCTCCGTTTCCTATCGGAAAGAAAATTACCAAACCATTGTATTTTTTCCCTTTTTTTTTGCCATATGATTCCATTTATAATAGTAGATCCATGTGCCAAATTCTATTAAAAGCCTTACTAACATCACAAAATACAAATTAGAGACATCATTTTGGGCACCATTGCCTTTGTATGTTGCATTCATATTTGCTGTTTTCCAAGAAAGAGGTATAATACCAGATTCAATAGTCTTATTACAAAGTAAAGTTAGAGGACATATTAGAGAAGTTGCTAATTTCTTGGGTATCATGCCATCTGGGCCAGGAGGTTGTTTATCATTAAGTAGAAACAGTTGATCCTTTATGTCCTGTCCAGATATAAAAATATTGTCTTGAATGAAGAGAACAGTATTTTCTTTGAGGTAAAGGGTTCAAGATGTTCAGAAAAGTCAATATTGAGCTGAATTAATTATTTAGGCGTCCAGCTTTTTAAATGGATGATGTATTAAGTTATTATTTTCAGAAAGAGGGTGAAGACAATTTGATACATTATTTGAATTCATGACATATCTAGCAACTTTCCACTGTTTATTAGGAGGCATAGATTGGTCACTAAGTGGTTGTTGCAATCGGGTTTTGTTTCTTTTTTTTTCTTCTATTTTTTGAAGTTGATTTTTTATTTTTTTTATTTATTTTTTTATTTTTTGGAGTTGATTGTTGCAATCGTTCATAATAATTTCTTTCATCATCTCTAACGAGGTCTATTGCTTTATTTCAAGCCTGGCTACAAGTTTCCCAATTAATCGCAGTGTTGTTATTTACAGCTTTTTTTATGTAATCTATTTCTCTGTCTAATGTTTTGCCTTATATTATTCCTCATCCAAGTTTTATCAATAGAGCGAATAGTTATAGTTTTAGATGGTATACATTCTTTTATTTGATTTGTGATGGTATCTGTTAAATAATATTAAATTCTTCTGATTCAAGATTATTTATTTGTATTTTCCAATTCATTTCATTTAAAGCTCCATTCATTTGATCAAAATCTGCATTGTCATAGTTTGATGTAGTTTTCTGATAAGATTTTTGCTTAAATACAGAATTTAAACAGGTAAAATGAATAACAGAGTGATCACTGTATATTTGTGTATTCACAGTATCATGTTTTGTATGATTAATAATAAGTTAATAAAATATCAATAGCATTGACAGTAGTTTGTGTTATCCTGCTAAGTTTATTAATTAGATTTGTAAAGTCATATTTTGCCATTAGTCTCTTCAAATAGTGGTTAATAAGAATATTGCACCTATTCACATTTATATCTCCAGTTATTGTGATGTGTTACATATATGCGTTAACTAAAACATGGTCTATGTTATCCCAATATTCGACATTTGATTCAGGTCTATAAATACATATATCCTTGACAATATTGTTTTCTTACTGAATAATAGTTCATCACATATCATTTCGATATCATCATGTTCAAGATCAAATCTTCTTTCAGTATGTACTGTGTCTGTGTGATAAATAACTAATCCTCCCCCAGGTCGAGTTTTTCTATCAAGTCTGTGAATGTTATCGGAAAGGGAGTTTAATATTATTTCAGCATCAGTTAAATTAGGAGAAAGGTGTGTTTCAGTAAGACATATTATGTCACTTTCATGTAATTCTGCCTCAATGATATCAAGTTAGGTTCTGAGAGATCTAGCATTAAGATGTTAGATTTCTATGATACACTGGGGTCCTGGGTTAGGTGCAATATCGTTGCAATGAATTAATATTCAATTTTTTTAAGCTTGAAAAAATGTGATTCAATAAGCTAGGGTATGTACATTTACATGCAATGGTCAATGTTATGATCAAAGGTACCAGTCTCGTATGTCAATACACCAATAAAGTTTATATTATAGGTGTATTGACAGACGAGGCTGGTACATGTGGTCTGCTCGCGTCAGGTAATGTCGTGAACCGGAAATAGCATCCGGTGTTCCTGTTAAGATGTTAGTCAGTAGTAAAAATTATAATATTATGAAAAAAATATTGTACTGATAACAACACAGTTTTGAGTGTAAAAAACGTATGGAGAAGGAAATGATGACAATTCTGTTTATTTTTTTTCATATTTTTAAAGTTCATGTTAATCTGTTTACGTTTGTCCCAGACCGAGGATCTCGGAAGATTTTTTTTTTATTTTTGAAAAAATGTATAAGGTAGTAGTATATACATGATTAATAGTTTATCAAAAAAGGTTTTCAGGTTTTATCGTGAAAACAATCTGCTTATCGCGAGCACGTGGATAAAATCGAGAGATATATTTGTTGTATATATCATCAGTTCTGCTGGTCCGTTTCATAACTAGTTGTATATATCTTCAATTGAGTAAAATATATATCAACAGTTAAGTACAGCATCAGTTGTAAACGTATAACATGAAAAGTTCGTGGGTATTTTCCATTCCTGTTTTGAAAATATTTCATGGTTCAAACTTTTGTGGATACCCCACATACATCTAACAGTAGTCAAGTATATTAAATAAATTGCCTGTATTTTTTTTATGGTTCCATAGTAACCACGAAAACAGCGAATGTTAAACACAGGGAACACTTCATATTTAAGTTTCCTCGTGGCGGAATGGGTAACAGCGAATGTTAAACACAGGGAACACTTCATATTTAAGTTTCCTCGTGGTGGAATGGGTAGACCGAAATAATTAAAAAGAAATGATAAAATACCCTAGGATCTTTCCGTCCATAAACATTATTTAATTCCAGGACGAGGTCCCCCAACACCTCCAAACACCATATCCTCGATGCTCCAGGGGTTACGCACACTTTTTCGCTCTCTGCATACTGGAGTATCGTGGATGCTAAAGACACAATTAATACCTTTTTATTCATGTATGAGTACATGAATTGTCAATAACAATACCAGGGGGTAAATCTCGTTTGTGCTAAAAAAATGTAACTACGGACTGTACTTGGATGACTGACGGAAGGACGACGATTTATGTAAAAAAAAGTCTCCAGAAAGTGCATTGTATAACAGCATTTAAGCGAAAGTATGAAACTATACCGTCATTTCTACATAAAGCAATTAATTCAATCTTTTCATAACATATTTCTAAGATACGGTCTCTCTGCACAGTCATGGCCTATCACCGCCTTAGAGAAGTACTTACATGTAGAAAGAAAGAAACTGTATCCTATATAATGAACGTGAATCAAATGTAATCACTATACAGATATCCGTTCCAATTTCACTTAGCTATATTATATAAGAAGGCCTTAGTCCCATTATGTTTAAATTCATTCTTTTACTCAAGGCGAAAATATACCAGAGAACTTAATAATTAAGGCAAGTTTTTAATATTGTCGAGTTATGGGACGAAGATTGGTTTATTAACAGGTCACTCTTACAAAAGGTCACGGAGATACATAAAGTATGGTATAAGTCCTATATAGCTGTATCAGGGTGAGAATATGGATGCAGCCGTGTTTAGGTGATGATGCAATAATGTTGACGTGTGCGATTGTCCTTGTCATTTTTTTCCAACGTTGGTCTTCCATAAGCTGCACCAAATAAAGAAACGAGATATATCCATGGACCATGTATCTTACGTTCGCCCGCTTCAAAATGGTAAGACCAGATACAACGGAACCATGTTTTAAAGTACAGCGCAATCAAGTTTTACTTTGATCTACGTCTTGTTCGGCCTTCTATCACAGGTACATGAAGTCAGAACCTTAATACTCTTCTTAAAATTATTTTACTATTTAACTTGTTCCAGAATATACATATGGACGCATTAAAAAACATTTTCAAAAACAAATACGTTGTCCTCTTGCTTGCTTCTTCTTTCACAATTGCACTACATAAGAAATAATATCCAAGTGTGATACTGACCCCCGACGCGCATGTGATACATGTATCTGTATTGCATACCGGATGCAGAGTGCGGATTTTCCATACTGAGTAGAATAAACAACAACATCGCTGTGGACATTACAGGGACCTGGGAATAAATGACAGAGAGTTAATGTTTAATTTTCCAGGTGTTGGCAGAAAGTAATATGAGGCGTTTACCCTGGAATTATAAACGACAATTGTTGCGACAATTGCACTCGTACCTATGAGTTCTGTCGCACTTATCGAAAGAAGAAGAAGAATAGCGTTTGATAATCAAAGATTCAAGCATACCGATGAATCAGTTTTGGGTACTAATTTAAATCCTTGCTCAAAAATGGGCGAGGGGGATGAGGACCTCCTAGCTCCCTCCCAAGTGTGTCCAGGTCAGGGATCTAGTAGGGGGCACCCCTAAAAATCGATATATTAATTTTGAGATCTACCTGTCTCAGAATCATTTTGCATACGGTTAATCGCACAGAGTAATTTTGCATAACTAACACATTATACAATAAGATTAGCCCGAATTTCCTCTGGCCCTCACACCCGACTTCGACATTTTGACACATCTATATGTCAAAATATCTAAGTCTGATGTAAGGGCTAAAGGAATCTCGGTCTATACAATCAGAGCAGAGTTTTAATAGTATTTTATACTAGTATACATATTTGTTTGGGAAAAGAGCAGTACCTAATAGCAGTCCTTTTTTATTGTTTTTACCTCACTTCGCCCGAAGTGTGTGGCGTTCGTCGTTCGTCCGGTGTCAATTATTTTTTACTTTTGACAACTTTTCCTAAATAACAAAAATGCCCAAGATGATGATATTTAGCCGGTAACATGCTGGGATAAAGGGCTAATAAGTTTGATCAAAATTAATTACCTTCGCCCATAGTCAGGGTCACAGGGGTCAGTTGTCTAAAATAAACCTTCTAACTACTTCTTGTGAATAACCAATATGCACAGGACAATGATGTTTGGCCAGTAGCATGCTAGGATGAAGTGTTACCAGTTTTGTTCAAATGGATGACCTTTACCCATATGCAAGGTCACAGGGGTGAATTGTCTTAAAATCCTTTGAGCAACTTCTTTTGAATAACCAAAAGCTGATGATGATGATGATGATGATATTTGGCCAGTAGCATGCAGGGATATAGGGGTATACATTGGTTTAAATGAATGACCTTCACACATACATTTGTATCCAAGGTCACAGGGATAAATTGTCTTAAAATAATTGAACAACTTCTACTAAATACCTAACAGGACCAGGGTGACGATATTTACCCAGTAGCAAGCTGGGATGAAGGGGTACCAATGATGTTTAAATGAATGACCTTTGCCCACACCATAGGTCACAGGGTCTATTGTCTTAACAAGAGGCCCAATGGGACTGCATCGCTCACCAGGTATTAATCTCACACTTGTAACCTAAAGGGTGATCTTAAATAATGCTACACGCAAAATATCAGTATTAATGACTATAAGTCATTCAAAACAACCTGTTAAAAGGTTTTAAATCATTTGAGTCGTGTGACCTTGATTTTCTAACAAGGTCATTATGTTGAACACGTTTTAAAGCCTTTCATTTCAGCATGCAACTTGCCAAATATCACCATCCTAGACCTTTGGTTTAATGACATTAAGATTTAAACATATCTGACCAAATGTGACCTTGAAAGTGGGTCAATGTCATTCAAATGACTTCATAGCCCTTCATCCAAATATCTAAATTCTGGGCCTCATGGTTATTCAAAAGAGATGTTTCAAGATTTTAAACAAATTTGACCCCTGTGACCTTGAATATAAGTTAAGGTTTTTGTTTTTCAGAAGAAGCCATTTAAAGCTTTCAAACATATTTGACCCACCCATGTAATCTTGAATATAGGTCAAAGGCCCTTCATCCAAGCATTCTAATGCCAAAATATCATCATTCTGGGCTGCATGGTTTTTCAGAAGAAGCCATTTAAAGCTTTCAAACATATTTGACCCACCCATGTAATCTTGAATATAGGTCAAAGGCCCTTCATCCAAGCATTCTAATGGCAAAATATCATTATTCTGGGCTGCATGGTTTTTCAGAAGAAGCCATTTAAAGCTTTCAAACATATTTGATCCACCCATGTAATCTTGAATATAGGTCAAAGGCCCTTCATCCAAGCATTCTAATGGCAAAATATCATCATTCTGGGCTGCATGGTTTTTCAGAGGATGTCGTTTAAAGATTTTAAATATATTTGACCCTTGTGACCTTGAATATAATTGAAGATAGTTTATTCGAACAAACTTTGTAGCCCTTCATCCTAGTATACAACTGGTCAAATATCATCACCCTAGGTCTCTGATTATTCAGAAAAAGGCGTTTAAAGATTTCAAACATATTTGACCCCTAAGAAATTTAATACAGGTCAAGGTCATTCATTTTAACAAACTTGGTAGCCTTTCATCCTAGCATGCTACTGGCCAGTTATCATCACACTGGGATTGTTGGTTATTCAGAAGAAGCCGCTCAAATATTTTATTCATTTTTAACCCCTTCGACCTTGAATAAAGGTCAAGGTAATTCATTTTAACAAACTTGGTGGCCTTTTATCCTAGTATACAACTGGCCAAATATCATCACCCTGGGCATTTTGGTTTTTCGGAAGAAGTTGTTTAAAGATTTTAACATATTTAACCCCTTTGACCTTGAATATGAGTGAAGTTCATTCACTTGAACTAACTTGGTGGCCCTTCATCCCAGCATGACACTGGCTAAATATCAGCACCCTATGCCTTTTGTTTTTTTTAGACAATTGACCCCTGTGACCTTGAAAATGAGGGAAGGTCATTTGTTTGAACAAACTTGGTAGCCCTTTATGTTAGCATGCTATTGGCAAAATATTATTATCCTAGGCCTCTTGGGCATGCAGAAGAAACTGTTGAAAGTTTTTAAACATATTTGACCCCTGTGATCTTGAAAATGGGTGAAGGTCATTTATTTGAACAAACTTGGTAGCCCTTTATCTAAGCATGATACTGGCCAAATATCATCATCCTAGTCCCTTTGGTTATTGAGATGTCATTTAAAGATTTTGAACATATTTGATCCCTGTGACCTTGAATAAATGTCAAGGTCATTCATTTGAACAAACTTGGTAGCCCTTCATCCCATCATGTAACAGGCCAGATATCATTATCCATGTTATTCAGAAGAAGTTGTTTAAAGATTTTAAACATATTTGATCCTTGTGACCTTGAAAATAACTTGAGGTCATTCATTCTAGCATGCTACTGGCCAAATGTAAACATCCTGGGCCTTTTGGTTATTCAGAAGAAATTGTTTAAAGTTTTTTCTTTTATATTAGACAACTGACCCCTGTGACCTTGAAAATTGGTGAAGGTCATTTATTTGAAGAAAGTTGTTAGCCCTTCATGCCAGATTGCTTCTGGCCAAATATCATCACCCTAGGCCTTTTGGTTATCAAGAAGAAGTTGTTAAAAGTAAAATGTTGACGGAGTCCGGGCCAGGTGAGCTAAAAATAAAACCTTTAAAACATATGCTAGGAGGAAGAGCTATCAAGTTTGTTCATGTGTATGATGTTGACCCACTTTTAAGGTCACATTTTGTCAAATGTGTTTAAACCTTTACATGACCTCATCTTACTGAACAAAAAGTCTAAGGTGGTGATATTTGGCAAGTTGCATGCTGAGATGAAGGGCTTTAAAATTTGTTTAACTTAATGACCTATATAGCCTGAAGGTCACAGGGGTATGTGTTTAACTGTTTCAACAGGTTCTTCTGAATGACTTCAGATCCATAAATACGGATTTAGTAACAAGTGCGATATTAGTCCCAGGTGAGCGATGCAGGTCCATTGGGCCTCCTGTTTTGTTTTGTTATAATCTGTGTAAAGGCAGCTATGCACCGGCATGTTGATACAAAATTTACAGATCACTGTTGAGATGGCACGTCACATTTCGTTCTATACACCAATGCATTTCACTCATCAGCGCTGTGTACAGGGATAACATATTTACTCTATATCATTACCAAGAAAAGTACCACCACTGTCAAAAGTTATATGAGATGCAAATATAATCTAACATCTGCCACTGTCTTCACATTCAATGATTTCCTCGAAATCAATGCACTTTGATTTTGTAATCCAGTATCAAACTCTGCTAATAAAAACTTATACACATGTTTATCAGATTATCTTAATTTATTTCAAAACCATGTTAGTGTAATACCGCTGAACAAGTTACATGTACTTTCTTTCAAAAGAAGACACTACAACTTATTTTCACTGAAGGAAAATTTCACATTACAATAACGGGCAAAGAGTACAGGGTAAAAGGATATGGGTTGACAAAAGTACAGGGTACACGTTACAGTGTATGGGGTAAGGGTACAGGTGGTAGTGTATGGGTTGAAAAACAGGTTAGTTTATGGGGTAAAGGCAACAGGGTAGGGGGATACAGGGTACTCGGTACTAGAGCAAATTAGAACCTGAACCAAAATGTTTTAAGAAATCCATTTGATGATATTACTATCAATATGATGTAATTCATTATTACTATTAAATTATAATTTTTTCATTCAAAATGAGGTGCATTAAATTTGATTAATAGGTCATTATTAATGTGCAAATAACAAGTCTTTATGTACAAATAGTCTTTGGATGAAGGGAGATAATGCAGAAGGTAAACCATATAAAATGTATATATAGTCTTCCATTTATCACAGCTATAGCAAGCACTTCTAAGGCACTGCAACATTTTCATAAACACAATTCTATGTCAAATAAATAATGTAAATCTATGTAATGCAGTTTCCTCAAGTCAAATTCCATTAATATTCCTCCACTGTTAGATGTTAAATACTCTTAATGTCTTTCACATATACAGTATATATATATAAAAAAAATCAACATATCGAAAGTCTACTTTTTCCAGTAAGCGTGTGGATTTTTCTGGAATCTGCTGAGACACTGAGGGGAACACAGAAAGGACATCATGGGCACATTTGTCCTGCCAAGTTGGTCTACGGCCGACACAGTGTGTGCTATCCTGGACAGGGACAGGTTTGTCGTAAAGTTCACAGAGCACCGGAAACAGAATTCTCCACACCAACACACACGGGCAGAGTCTAGGTATCTACAGAGATGGGTGTGTAGGTCCTCCTCAGTGTACCTCACTCTGAAAATACAAATGAAACAAATTATATTTTTATATTTAACAAGAAACACATGGGGACTATTTATATTTTTTATTTCCTTTTTTTTTTACAAAGTGTTGCTTTGGACCAGATTTTTTCCACCTTTAGGAGTGGGCATCTAAAGTTTCTTATGGACTCAAAGATTTATAATACCATTATACAACACAGGGTCAAGGCAATGATAGCGACATCAATTTGTATGCCATTTGGTTCAAATTTATCTGGTAGAATTGGGAGTTAAAAAAAAAATCATCTCAGCAAAGCCCTTGGCTGAGGTATACTTTATGCCCTCCACTTTTCATTTTAACTACATTGAATCCTATATAATTGCCCAAGGGAAGATTTATACCTAATCAGACTTTCCTTAAATGAAAAGCTGATGGTGGAGGCGGTGCCAAGACTGAAGTTCACTATGTGTCTGTTTAGTATTTATTCTTGTCTATGCTTTAAACATGTATCTTTTTACCAATAAGTAAGGTAAGCCAAATTAGCAAGGTTCTAGTGTACATATGAATGAATATATAGTTACACCTGCTCGTAGGAGGACCTCTGTTATAATAATTAATATAATTAAGTGACCGCCTGTGTTATATGAGACCACTATTTTGACTTCCTGAGGGTGGTCTCTTAATTTTGATATAGTTTTCACTATTTATACATGTACTTTCTTTACAAGTAATTCTAATAACATGTAGATACCGTTAATTCAGCTACAAGATAACACACTAACCAACATAACAATACATCATGTTTGTACATGAATATACGTACAGAGTAACAAATATTTAACAATAGTAACGTTTTTTTTATATATATCATGAAATATATACCTATGCTTTCTTATAGATCTGGCGCAGCATTCCATTAGGGTAATGTCTGGGAATCTGTCTGGCAGGTCGTTGTGGACATCTTGTTGGAATGGGTTTCCATACAAGTCTATAGTCTCTAGCTGTAGCTGGGTCATACTGGCAGGCAGAGTTTCAATCTTGTTCCCTGTTGCCGACAAAAACTTCATACACTTCAGTCTACCAATGGTTGGAGGAAGATATTTTAACTGATTATTATCAATTTTAAGAGTCACCAAACCTTGCAACTCACAAATTTGAAGAGGAAGAACTTCAAATTGATTTTGTCCGAGATCAAGAAAACGAAGATTGTTTTGTAAAGTTGATTGTAAAAAGAATTTTGGAGAAATATTATTCAAGTTATTCTGTACCAAAGTCAGCGATCTAAGATTTGGAACATTGCTGAAATCTTCTGGTAGACTTTCCAACACATTATCGCTCAAGTTTAGTTCAACAAGACAATGTAACTTGAGCATTCGGGAATCCACTTTTTTCAGGCGACACTGTGACACATGTAAAAACTCCAAACGCGAGGGAAAGTTTGTTGTCAGAGGATACTCCTTTCTGGAATTGATGACAAGTCTTGTTTTGGGTTTTTCGACATTTTTTCCAGAAGCTGGAGCTAGACAAGACAGAGTGACGTTATCCAAACTTTTCCCTTGAGCACCAAGTCTGAGCACGGAGAGAAAGTTCTTCAGCTGTAATGAATCAGCCTGAAAGTAAAAGGTTTTAAATTGCCATTCATTGATCAACATGTTCATTAAATGAAAACCCAATAAGATGTCAATGATTGCGTCCCTTTGTTAACTTCTGTTATCTCATGTACATTTATTAACTTTAATATTACATCTTAACCCTATCACCACTGCTGACCACAATGGCCTCATCCAAAGCAATGCATGGTTGAGTCCACTTAAGTTGCATAGGGATGAAAGGGTCAATCTGTCTAAAAAGAACATCACAAATAAATGACTTGTGACTTAATGATACACCATAAACCGCTGCGCTTCAAGACTATCATGGATCTTTGATCATGAATTGTATGTTAATACATGTAGTATGCCTCATAAATACTTAAATATAACTGATCTTGGTCATTTACGACAGAATATTGCATTTTCCTTCCTTCAAGACAGGGAAAATATTAAATTACTTTTTATGACCTATGTGACTGATGTATCAGCACATATACATTATTCAGGGAAGTTTTCAAACAAAATATCAACTGATCAATTAAGAAAAATCATTATCTTGTTAATTAACATCGCATAATAATAACTTAGTCATTGTCTAACCTTAATGTCCCTAAATCTACTACCTTTACAGAACACTGTTATAAATATTGGGCTCTCACAATATTTCTTTGGCCTTCATTAAGTATCTGGTACTCTTTGTACATCTTGCAAAGTCATTGTGTGCGATATGTACATAACACATTGATGTCTTTGCTCCATGTACAGGAGAAGATTTTATAGATTAAATATGCACTTAGACTAATTTGTACAAATGCTTCGAGTACTTACCTCTGCCCTGGTAATTCTTGTAGGATTATTAAACATTTATAATATTGCTCACATGTAAAGGGAGATAACTGCCTAGTGGATGTACTTACAATGCTTGTTTATTTTTATAGTGTGTTTTTTGATATTTTTTCTAACATTAATTTACATATACTTCAACAAGATTTATAAAACCATTGGGACTAAGAATTCGGTGTTAACCAGGTTATTTTTGATGTAAGTGGAAGTTTGACAAGTCCTCATTAATCAGCACATGGACTTGAATTTAAAAAGGGCAGACACCAGGGCATCCCCTGTGACCAGTGATCTTTTTTAATAATTGTAACACTAATGATATTATTGAAGATGAAAAACATTGTGTTATCATGTGTAAAGCTACACAATGAAAGTCAATTACTTATGACCCCTATTGATAAGAAATCTATTCATTTCTCAATGGCAAATGTAGCTCCAAGTATTTTAAACATTTAGGGAGGTTTATTTCTCAGAATGAGCATAGTTTGTGACCAAGATTGCTTTATTGTGAAGTGATATTTACTTCCAGTCTGTATGATGGTATGTTGTATCTTTTAGTATACATCATTATCGGTTATAACATGACGTATACAAGTTTTATAAATTGATGTCTTTGTGATGACAACAAATCATTTAGTTGTGTATGAACATTGGCCCTTGATTCGGTCAATAAAACCTTTCTTTTATCCTAATGTCAACAATCATTTGGTAGTTCTGAATGTTTTCAATGAATAATTCTTTTTTTAAATGTTGAACCTATCCATTAAGTACTCTACAATGACAAAGGTGAGAATAAATCAAATTTTAACTTCGGAATCAACAATCACAAAGGGCTGTAATTGTGTATATAGTGGGCATAAGACCTGATTTCAGTATGAGACACATGCTGATTGAGTTGTATGATTCCTTCTAGTACATATTATATTTTTACATAGTTTATAATGTAATACATGTATTACTTTGCTGATACTGATGTCCTGGGGAGGTTCCCTCACACGTATGGTAGCTTTGCCTTCACTGACAAACCGCGCAAAAATCTGCTCTATGTTGTCGTTGATCTGTAGAAAGAAAGAAAAATCTAATAACATGTACTTAGTTTCAAAAAAAAAAAGTTTCGTTTAAATGCCTATAACATGATATCTTAATTTTTATTTATAGGTTGCACATATTTCCTGCAAAATCACATTCCTGATCTTCATTGTTACTAAATTGATCTAAAACTTTCAGTGCCATCAATAATTGTCAAATGAAATTATTCATTGATTTTTTTATATATACATAAAAAGATTTTGTGGACTTGTCTTTTCTGGCTATTTCTTTTGCAACCTACACGTACAGTGAACTTTTCTTTTTCATATGTGAAAACGACTTAATAGCATGTTTAACAACTTTTTCACTTGAATTGTTCTGAAATTCCTAAAATTGTAAACACTTATCATCTTTATTCATTCTTAATGGATCCTCATGAACAAGGCATTGTTTCAGGAACATTGAGCGATGCAGCCAGTTTGGCAGTCATCCTCTGGCAAACACTTATATATAAGTTTCCAAGATGTCCTGCAGCTTGGTTTCATTATAAACGCTGTACTATATTTCAAGTATGTAAATTTTAACGAAATAAAATATTTAATACCACAAACTTTGCACCGTTGCGATCTTTCGCTGTACACATCATCAGGAAAAGTGTTCCGTCCACTGATCCTGGTTTCTTGCCTATAGACAACTGGGTGTGGGCTGCTTTGCTCTTGTTTTTCATGTTCATTGTTGGTAGCATTCGGTTCAGAACCTCAACACTGCAAGTCAGCCTCATGCTGGAGCTGAAATCACGAGCAAAATTTAAACAACACAGATTTTATTAATATAGAAATATTGAAATTTAAAGTAACCTATATCATGTAGTCTCGCCCGCTAAGAGATGTCATGGTACTTGTTCATTATCAATTTAATTTGCACTACATGGACATCGAAAAAAAACAGATTTATATATCAATTGAAGGGATATGCACTGCATGCAGATTAGAATATAAAGACAAATTGACACGACTCTTTCCTAATGTAAAAAAAAAAACAATAATTTTCTGTCTTATACTTATAGAAACCCTTTAGATTAAGTGACATATATATTGTATAACCTGTTAATGTCTCGACTCCTTTTCAAAGGTAAAGAAGATATAGTTATTTCAGACTAGTTGCAAATCAAAGTCATTGCAATTTGTCAACAAACTATATTGTATCACGGACTTAGATAACAATCTAATTCCGTGATTGTATATTTCTTCAGTTTTTCTCCAGTTTCACAGGGGTCTGTTCCTAAGACTATTAACATATGTCTGTGGAGAGTTTTTTTTTTAAATTTACAAGTGTGTTCAAGATAAACCATATTCTTTTTTATGCATATGTTTGTGCGCCGTGTGGTCTAAAATTTACAATATGAAATAAATAATAAAATTTCTAATTTTATAGGTTAGATCACAGGATCACGTTACAATCACACATATGCTATATTGTAATTGCTGTAGGAACTCTATCTAAATCATAGATTTATATACGATATGGTTTCTATCGTTATAAATCTATGATTTAGATAGAAATCCAACAGCAATTAGATATATTGTAACGTGACCCTGTGAGATAGTTTAGAGATACCACAGGCCCCTGTGTCCTAAAGTTGTACGGGAAAACAACCGAGTGCTTTAGGATTCACAACAACCAAGGTTGGAATTGATAAAGAAGAAATAAAGTTAGTATAGTAATGTTTATATAGTAATTTGTACGTGTAACTTGCTCCTAGATCTTAATTTGAGCCAGTCGATCTGGCGATAAATGAAAGATCTTCCAGCATCCACCATCCAGCAGAGTTGAAATTTCCGCCAAATATCTCGTTCCTACCTCCACTTCCGGGATATTCATACGCAATGTTTTTGGCAATAACTATTTTCTTTTTGATAAGTTATGTTTTTGTATTTTAGATTATAAGCGTGTGTACATTAATTAAGAAGCATAAGAATAAAATCACAATAGACAATACTGCAGTGGCATTTTAAATTATAAAATATCAAAATCAAACCTTAAATCTATGTTCGATGCGGATTTTTTTCCGTTTTACTGTTGTTTGGTCGCAGCTGTCAACTCGAGCCGCTATCGGCGCTATTTATCGATGCGCTCGTTGACAGCAGCCAGCTAATCGGAATTGGATGAATTATTGCACCGATTTTGTCTACTTTGTGTCGAAAACTATACAATGCTTCATTGATTTTAGACCGGTGCTGTTATTTATCCCGTTTCTTTGAAATATCACAGTAATTTCGGTTGCAATATGTTGAGCAGTTTATAATGAATATGATGATGAACTGATTGATTCTGGACTCGCAGTATTGTGATAGTGTTTGCGGTTTGCAAGAAATGTACATTTACCGTCACTGACAGCTACAGTATTACCACAAGGATGAAGCTGAGAAAGAGTAACGTGCGACTGTTGGCACTGTCGGCTTTCTATGCGCTGTATCTTGTTATTGGAGCATCTATATTTTCAGCCATTGAAGGTCCAAAAGAACGAGATTTAGTGAAAGAACTTCTTGATTTGAGGATACAGTTTTTGAATAAGAACAAATGTGTGACAGGTATAACTATAACCTTTACTATTTCCATAACTGTTTAAATTACTTATTTAGTCATTGTGGATACTTTGAAATCATGGAAATGCTTTAATTTAATCCTTATAGCGTTCAGTACACCCTTGAAAATATGTTTCTGACTCCACAAAATGAGCTTTGTATACAAGATCACCAATGAGGTGAAATGAAATTCCACTGAATTTATAGCATTATGCACTAACAACTCATTATATAAATATTAATATCTTTTTAGAGTTGAACAGATTATCTACATTTCTATCTTGATGTCATTGATTGACAGAAATTAACTTGCTGAAGTTCAGACTTCAAACTCTGACGCATCCAAAATAATCAGCTTATCAAATGATTAGGTTTGATCTGTGATCATATAAAAAATGGTTTAGACGCAAGTACTAGCCTCATCTTTCAATATACCTGTCAATATACCCATAATTGTATGGGGGTACAAGGCTAGTACCTGTGGTTTTCGTCTCTTTTTAGAGTTACAGGGTGCCAATTTGATTGGTGCTGGGTTTGATTTTTCCCAGCTGTCATAGGTCAGTTCTGTTTTAGCTCACCAGCCCTAAGGGCAAGTGAGCTTATGTCATGGTGCAGCGTCTGTCCTCGTCCGTCAACTTTTCCTTTCAACAATTTCTTCTGAAGAACGGACAGCCTAGGGTCATGATATTTGGCTGAAAGCTTTGTTGGTAGGAGCCCGATAAAGTTTGAGAACGAAAATGACCTTGACCTACTTCAAGGTCACAGGGGTCAAATATATCAAACTCTAAAAACGACTTCTTCTGGAGAACTAAAAGGTATTTAATCTTCCTATTTGGCTGGTGGCTTCCTTGGATGGAGCCCAACAAAGTTTGAGAACGAAAATGACATTGACCTACTTTCAAGTCACAGGGGTCAATTGTGTCAAACATTTCAAGCAACTTCTGAAGAACTGAAAGGTATATATATATATATAATCTTTATATTTGGCTGGTGGCTTCCTGGGATAGCTAGAGCCCGACAAAGTTTGAGAATGAAAATGACTTTGACCTACTTTCAAGGTCACAGGGGTCAAATATGTCAAACTCTAAAAACGACTTCTTCTGGAGAACTAAAAGGTATATAATCTTCCTATTTGGCTGGTGGCTTCCATGGATGGAGCCCAACAAAGTTTGAGAACGAAAATGACATTGACCTACTTTCAAGTCACAGGGGTCAAATGTGTCAAACATTTCAAGCAACTTCTTCTGAAGAACTGAAAGGTATATATATATATAATCTTTATATTTGGCTGGTGGCTTCCTGGGATAGCTAAAGCCCGACAAAGATTGAGAATGAAAATGACTTTGACCTACTTTCAAGGTCACAGGGGTCAAATATGTCAAACGCTTCAAACAACTTCTTCTGAAGAAATAAAAGTTATAGAATCTTCATATTTGGCTGGTGGCTTTCTGGGATGGAGCCCAACAAAGTTTGCAAATAAAAATGACCTCAACCTACTTTAGAGGTCACAGATGTCAACAACATCTTAAAGGATTTGTTCTTAAGAAGTAAAAGGAATGGATTCATAAGATTTGGCTGGTAGCTTTTTGGAATAGAGCTAACCAATTTGGGAAGGAAGATGACATTGACCTACTTACAAGGTCACAGGGAAAAATATGTCAACCAACTTCTGAAGAAGAATATAAAAGCATAGAATCTTATAATAATATTTGGCTGATAGTTTCAACAGATGGAGCCGACAAAGTTTGCGAGGGAAATATTTGTAGTGCAATAAAATATTTAATGAGAACATTTTGCTATGACTGCTTAAATATTCAGGTGAGCAATACAGGGCCTCTTGTTATTCATGTGATATTAAAGACCAACCATAAAAATCATGAGAGCATTTGAAAAAATGGAGAAGAATCTTAAATCACAATTTATCTCTTTACAATGACTTAGTGCATGGCTTACCATGTAAAAAAATGTATATATACAAAACGTATTGTATCAATCAGACAGAAGATATTAAGGAGGGTTAAAGATTGGAGTGACTCATCACAAAAGTCATTTCAGGTGTGTTGATCATGAAGATGTTTCAGAACATACACAACATATTTCGGGAGTCCCATAGAACATACACATGCCAGGACTGTGAATTCGAACGTTTCAGGTCTTTAATAAGATGTTCCGGGACCTCAAAATATTCTGTCTTAATATAATATTTTTAGTTTAATCATGTTGTAAAACTGAAGTTATTTGGCTCCTCATCCTTTCCTGTTAATATACACAATATATCCAATGTGCATTCCTTTTTAGCAGTATTTTGCAGACAAACATACTAATGGTGATCATGACGTCACTATATCTCAAAATAAACGAGGATAATGAACTGTATTACAATCTACCCATGTACCCCTGCCTGAGATTGTACTAACGTATAGATATTATCATTATGAGGGTTTCCTAATTTATAACACCTCCATATATGTCAACCTTTATTTTAAGCTGGCACCAAGAGACATGAGGCATCAATGTAAGCTGTGACGTATATTTACTGAGAATTTAATTTATAGATTACTGACAATCACATCTGACTTTTGAGATAATTGTTTACACTTGCTGAGTTGCATAAATATTTTAACTGTTGCTGCTATGCATAGTTAAATCAATGATAGATTTTTCAGATTATATATACATATATCTCCACATAAAGTGATGACATTGTGTAATATGTGTACCCTTACTGTGATGGTTAAAAACATCATGGTAAATTTGTATTATTGTCATACGTCACATGCATGGTAGACCCCAGCTAGTGTTTTCTAATATTTTATATTTATCAGTATGTCGCCTTTTGCTATTCATGATTTCTGTGTGCATCCGGTCTGTTCAAACCAGATCTTTTATTCGATCTTTTATTATCTATTTTTTAGATGGACGTTCAACATTGCGTGTCAAATATACACGTAGAAACTTTTATATGACAGATTTAGATACATTTGTATTTTCAAAAGTTGTTATTTTGATGTAAAATTAACACCTTTGATGTATACATTTCATATATACCCTTTTGGATGTTCTTTTGTTGTGATTGAGATTTTATATTTACTTCATTATCTGAATCGTAATATTTGTGAAATGTGGATATACATGTTCATATGTACATAAGATATGTATCATGTTATGACAATACCTAGCACCACAGAAAATGAGGAACAAATGCATACTGGATATATATATATATATGTAGTTATACTACAAACAAAGTGGACGATCTGAAAAAATTATGTTTTTATTCTATATGTAGTTATTTATACACATATTTGTGTATGGACAAACATAAAATACTATACATATGGACTACAGTGGCTTTCATATTAAGATGAATTTGGGGACTAACTAATTATAAACTTGTACATTATGTAAGATGCTAATTTTGTCCAATATCCCTTTTGACGTTTTTTGCTGCATTTTCCTGAAATTACTTGTGATTGTTAAAATATCAGCACTGGACAATAGAGTTAAGATGTACCCAAACCTACAGATATGCAAATTTTATGCAGAATACATTAATTAATTATAAAGCATTGTCTGTCTCCTAATTCTTAGAGCTTAATGTAAGCCTGCTTCAGTATGTTCTGAAGGCATACATTGATTTTGCTTTGTTGCTAGATTGTTCTTCAAATGGAAACAAAATGGAATCCTAGATTGCAATGACAAGTTTCAGAAGAAAAATATTGATTTCAAAATCATGACTGTATATAATTGATCATGTACATGTACATGCATAGGTTTGTTCAAAAATGAGGACTGCATGGATATATATCTTTCCTACATAACATTAATCTGTTCAATTGTTTTAAAAGGGCAGCAATTAAGCCCTGTTCTGTATTAGATGTACATTAAATATGATTTATTGTCGATAAGTTAAGGTTCAGTCCAATATTCAAATTCTATAATTGGCAAAAGTCACTAGAACATATTGTTTAAAAACTGTCATTTAATAAATAAGTGTTTCTATTAGAAATCTCCCCCTGTCCATTTAATGTTTAATATCAGATACATTTTTATCTATAAAAGACTATATATCACCTGTAATAATCTTTTACTAAATTTGAAGAGAAGGATTTTATTATATGTAAAAAAATAAGACATTATGAAAAACAGTGTAACAGAGTTGAAGAATTTGATTCATTGAGTTAGTAAATAAAATAAATTATCTGATTTATGTCTGCTGTAATATTTTATATTAATCCATCATTACTTTGTACAATAAATATTATTATAACATTTAAAAATTGTCCTGTAACGTTATATACATAATTCTTGTGAGGTTCATGTAGGTGAGAATTTAATACATATCAAAAACTGTTTTATATACCGGTATATAGTAATACCACAAATTCTTCATTGTCAAATTTTCTGAAAATTATGTCTAAACCATCTGGGCCTCACAGCAGTAAACTGTAGCGGTATCAAGTCAATATGTTATATAATGTTACATGTGAAACACTGTGATTCACACATGGGAAATATGGTGTAGAAAGAAGATGGGCAATAGATCACGTGTAACAGCCTTGGAATATTATACTGGTTGATTTTGTTATCATCATGGTGTCTTTTACTTTCGGCTCGCATGGCATAAAACGCTGGTGAGCATATAATATATATGTTGGTGTAGCATCTGACATAAACATTTTAAAACAACTTCTGATAAATACCAAGTGGTGTAGCTATAGGTTCATGACCTGTATTTGTAGGTTAAAATGGAGGGATAACTAGTTTATTAGCTCACCTGTTGGAAGGGCAAATGAGCTTATGCCATTGGCGCAGCGTCCGTCGTCAACTTTTTCTTTAAATCTGATCTCCTCCTAAACGCCGAAGAGGATTTCAACCAAATTTAGTCTGAAGCATCACTAGTAGAGGGCAATCATTTCCTAAATAAATGAGGTTGGTTCCACCCCTGAGGCCTGGGAGGCGGGGCCCTGAAGGGGAACTTAGCTATATTTGCTTTAAAACGCATC